GTTGAGCGTCCAACCATGCACAAGAGGTCACCGGTTTGATTCCCGGTCAGGGCACATGCCCAGGTTGCGGGCCGGATCCCCAGTGGGGGGCATGCAGGAGGCAGCCAATCAATGTTCTCTTTCATCGATAATTCTATCTCTCTTTCCCTCTCATGTCTTCTCTCTCTAAAATCAATAAAGAAAAAAATATATTTAAAATATTATTGCAGTATTATCTTATAGAATCTGAAGTTTTCGATGAAAATTGTATCTCTGGAAACATAAAGTTTCAAGAATGTATAAACCCCTAATTTTTAATTGAAAATTGAGCCTATAAAGTTTTATTTTCTTATCCCCTGAAAGAAAATATATGTAGTTATTAATAACTAAAATAAGTTGGAGAAATTTCCACTTCTCTTCCCAGTTAGAGATGCCTTGACAACCTCAGTGGCCATCGTAAACCATGAAACAGCAAGACAAAAACACACAGCAGGGAAAACCCTGGTATTCTTTTTCTAAGGATGCAATAGATACATGCAAAGAAAATGCTTCAATGGACAAAGAGAAAAAGAAAAGACTGGGAGAAAGCGAGAATGCAATGGGAGACCTGTTCTCTCTACCAGACATTTACTAATTGGGACATGCACACTCCTGGGGACACCCAAAGACTTTCCTAGGGGAACCCAGGCAAAGACAGATTTAAGGGATCAATTTTTAGATCTTCAAGTTTCCTCCGCATGCTCCTAAGACTGAGCTACCTGAAAATCGCACTTCAGTCATAATGATCCCAACCTCCCTTTTGCCTTTACTGTTTTTACAATCAAAAGGCACACAGCTCACCATCTGGTGGTGTTTTATGAGGTTGCACTGAACTTAGAAAAACATCTGAGAAACAAAAGGACAATTTGAAGTATTGTATAGATGTTGATACAACAAGTGGCTCTCATGACTGGACAACAAGTAAGATTGCAATTCTTTGCTTCCAATCCTTGGCTTTCAACACAATTGAAGGAGGACCTGTCTAAGTTGTCATTTGAAAGATCACTAAAAACATTTTTAGTACTAGATCACTATGGTTTTTGGCATATAACTCTGAAAGAATTCAAAGATTTGAGTGACAAATCCCTTTTCATTCCCATCTACTTATATGAACAGGTTTGCTAAGCAAAGGGTTAAGAGAAGACATATCCCATCTATAACAACAAAAGAGCAGAATCTCTAAAATAGGATAAGAGGGGTAGTTAAAAAAAAAAAAAAAAAGAGTGCATTTAATTCACTTCATTTAACCAGAAACAATTTACTTCTTGAAGTTAAGATGCTACTATTTAACAGGAGCTTGACTAGGAACCACCCAGTTTGAATTCAAATACATAGTGACTTTAAGTCTGAAATGCCATAGGACATATTTTGGTGGTGTGAGTGGGTGGTGAGCAACAGACTGGAAAGCTGCCACTAAAATACACAGTCCACACTGTCCGCTAGTGAAGAAGGCAGAGACAAAGTGCGGTGGACACTCCCACGGTAAATAACAGGGTGGGTTTGTGATTTTTGTTGTTGTTGTTGTTACTTTTGGATACAAATATCTACTATCTAAAAACTGACCATTTTACTTACAGTTTTTACTTTGCTTTGATGAAGAAGGACTGAGTTATCAGGGAGTATCAAGGATGTGTTAATTCTGTACCACACTTAAGGATACTGTCACTACAGAAACACTTTCTTACATTAACAAAGTGTAAATTAATAAGTCTAAACAAAAAGAACTTGCTTCTAAGCCTTGGCACAATCTTTCCAAACATACAGCATCTTGTGCATTTTTATCTTGTCATAAATGATAATATTCCCCATTTTTTCCAGTTCCTCAAAGCAAATTTACATACGAATGTGACTATCTCTACTTAAAAGAGCCAAGAATTCAGAGATGATCCTTTGAAGGAGCCAAAAGAGCCATATCATTTTATTGTCATGAATGGCTGAGGGGAATAAAATTGCCATTCCATCTCTAGGACGAGTGCACAACCCACAAACAAATAGCAACTCAGGGTGAGATTTAGCAAACTAGAGAGACTACCAATTGAAATTCTCCACTCTAAAGCAATTTCATTGGAGATGGCAATGCTAGAAATGGTGTTTTATACTTGACTTCCCCCAAATTGCAATGCAGCTCAGATTCAAAGTCTTTATTATAATCTGTGGCAGAAGTTTCTAAAACTATTTTTATTTACTCCAACCTCTTTCTGAACAAAGTCAGCACAGACCCTTTGCCATTTTTACATCAAGTGTCTCATGCTGTAATTAAGCAAGCAGAGGAACTCAAAAGGAAACCCCAAGAGAAAGCATCGGGGCATCACTTATTGATTGGTGGAATTTTAGGGATTTAAAATTTCGGTGTTATTGTACAACTGCACTTTATTACCACTTTATCCTTCAAATGTAATAAGTACAAGCTGCTTCAGTAATGATGGAAAAGCTTTCTCAGCTTTAATGAAACCTTTTATTTGCTACTGAAACTTGTATTATTTCCAAATGGTAGCACAGGCAAGAAAAATAATCACTACCTAATATTGAGGGAAAACTTTAGCAATTTGAATAATTTTGTTCTTGGGTGACTTTTAAGGCATTTAGAGTTGTTATGTTTATTATTTTCATTTGTTTTTAATGAACTAAAACCAAAATAGATGCATACATATACACACTGTAACAAACTTATTTTCTGATCATATATTAAAAGATTAGATATTTATGTGCAGCTATCACCTGTAAGATGTTGGTCTGATCTGGATAAGAATTTCTATATATTTAGGACTCCCACAACTCTCAGCTACTGACCATGAGAGGCAGTGTAGTGTAATAGTTAAGCCCACAGGCTCTGAAGCTGGACTGCGTGGCTTTGCATTTCAGCCCTGCACCCTCCTTGCTGTGAGCTCTTTGGAAAGTTCTCAGTGCTCACTTTCCTTATCTGTAAAAATAAAGGTGACTAGAACCTGCTTCGTGGAGTGAATGCAGAGATTAAACGAAGTATCTCATGTAAAACACTAGAACCTGGCACACAGTAAGCACTTGATAAATGTTTAGCTCCAATATGGTTTTTTCATGTGAATACATCCACCTCTAGGCTGGATGCTCTGTTAGATGATACCATTCATTCAACAAACATTTGTTGAGCTTTACTTTATGCAGCCTATTTGTCCTAGGTAAAGGGGGCACAACGATTAATGAGATATGGTGCCTACTCTCCAGGAGCTTCCAATTTCTGTGCAAAATGACTGTTGCCATCTTAATGTCGTCCTCGAAGAGTACCGTGAAGCAGCCCCTTCCACTGGAGCACACATTTTTCTTTCCCCATATACTTGCAACTAATGGAGCCTCAGAAAAATTTCACTTCGGGTTCTGAAATCTTAATCATGCACAATGTAATAAGCAGCTACAGGCTTTTCCACATTTTAAAACAGATGATTAAATGATCTAATCAGATTCTAACTTAGCCAAAAACTTGAAAAACATACGAAGACAACCATGACTGACACATTCATTTCCCCGAATGTGGACAAACTGCAAACACCAGCTGCAGAAAAACAGTGCCAGTGGCATCCGCACGATCCCCAGATGCCACGCGTTGAAGCACCTCCACTAAATTCCATTTGAGATCAAATAAGAACTGTGTTTAGTCATAGCCTCACACTTTCCAGAAAGTTCTGAAACTGACTTCCAACATGGCACCTTTCGTGCCTTTAGTTTTTTCAAACATTTCGGTTATGTCATTACACTCAGAGAATTTATTAGAAATAAAATCGTTAGCTTTGACCATAAATCTGAAGCACAAGAACTAACGTGGTATTATTTTAGATATCACAAACTACAAATGATCGTAAAGATGTTGTCCTCTGCTAAACTGTTATTCTTGAAAATGTATTCAGTTAAAAAAGAAAGACGTCTTCAATCTTCAAGCCTGAACATCAACCCATGCACCTAGAGGTCACTGGTTTGATTCCCCAGGACACAGGACCAGGTTGTGGGCCCAGTCCCCAGAGCTGGGCATGCAGGCCAATCAGTATTCTCTCGCATGGATATTTCTCTCTCTCTCTCTCTCTCTCTCTCTCTCTCCCCCCCCCCTTCCTTCGTCTCTATAAAATCAATAAAGGAAACAAACATTTTTAATGGAAAAACATCTTCAAATTAATTGCAAGATCAACTAGGACATTATCTATTCACTAGATGTGTCATAATAATAATAAAAAAACTATCTAATATGCATCACATTGTTGAATTCAGAAAGAAATTGGATATTCACTGTTCCAATAAAAGGACCAAGACTATTTGGGTGGGACGAGGCAACAGCCAACAATGACCGGGTCCAATTTCTTCTAGAATGGATTGAATAATTGCCTAAATATGTCTTCTAAGGAGTCCAAAGCAACAGTAGATCATCTGTAAGCACAAGGACACCCAAGTCCTTCCGTTTCTCCTTCCTTTCTGTAGCAGACCACCTTTCCTGGGCAAAATACTAGTAAAGGCCTCTTATGTTTCTTTTGGGACCTGGCAGATAAAACCCCAGAAATGCAACCACCCTCAACTTTAGGTCAACTCACACTTCGTTTGTATGCAAGACAGAGAGAATGTATCTAACTCACTCCTGAGTCTCCTAACCAATGAGTCTTTCGGTGACCTCTACTTTTGCATTTACACACATATGTTCCACACCGCAGGATGCTCTTGATCCCAGCTAACGTCCCTGCTTAATGTATGCGTTTCTCACATCCATTTTCTAAAGCCTTCCAGAGTGAAAATGTCAAAAGGGGTGAACTTCGGGGAAAGAAACGAAGAAGGGGAGGGAGGACATCCTAAGCCTGGGACTTCTGCCACCCTCCCTGCAACCCAGAATCCCTATTATTTTACTCCTCGCCCCATCCCCCCTGTGGCTCTCCCTCGCGCCTTTCCCTCCGCAGCAGGAGGGGGGAGGAGGAGCCGCGGGCTGAAGCCGCCACCTGCCGCGGCGTGGAAAAGCTGCAGTTGTCACTTACCCAGAGGGGTGAGATTGGCTCATTTCTGCGGGATCTTTTTTGGACCCCGCGGCAGGTGCGGAGGGCGGGTGCGTGGGGCCCTGTGCACGCTGGCGTCGCGGCAGTGGCGCTCGCTCGCGGCTCCGCAGTGCGTACGCGGGTTCGCGGGCACCTGGGCTGGGCTGCCGCCGCCTCCCGGGCCCCCACGCAGGCGGTATCCACAGCCTCCGGTTGCTAAGGGAGGAGAAAAGGCAGGCGAGCGCCCAGGTTCCGTAGAAGCCAAGGCGCTGCTGGAACCGAGCCCGGGGAGGCTCAGCTTCTAGCCCTTTTTCTGGGCCCCGGTGTGGGAGGAGACCCAGGCTCCTGCTCTGTGGCTCCGGGGCGCGGGTTCCCCCGCACCTGTAATATGCACGCACACAACACACACACACACACACACACACACACACACACACACAAGGTGTTCAGGCTGGTGTGTGTGTGCTAGGCCCGGGGAAGGAAGGGCTGGGGTTGGCTGAGCGCACGAAGAGCGGGAGCCGCTAGCGTGAAGCCTCGGCTCCCAGTTGTGACACAGTCCCTAGAGTGCAAATTCGAGGGAAAGAAAGAAGTCTCTCTCAATCGGTTTGGGGGTTTTATTTTGTTCCTGCATCTGCTAGGTATTGTAATAAGCTCATTTCCTCCTTGCAAAATTCCCGTCTTTGCTCTTAGACGACGTCCCCACTCCCAGCAGGCGGCTGAGGGTTCTGATGCTCGGAGGAAGGGAAGCCGCAGTCCCTCCACAGAGCGCGCTGGACTCGTACTGGGTTTGAATCCAGCAGTAGAATGCAAGGCTTTGCTGAAGAAGCCTGGATTGAAATGAGAGGGCCTTGGTGTGGAGGAATTTCAAAGCATTGGATTCGCATGACCTATTCCTAGACCTGTTCTTGCTCTGTCAGGGTTTTCGCTGCGTGACTTACCTCTGGTCCCAGGGTCCTCATGTAGAAGTGACAGGTTGGACGCGTGGAGCTCTATTCTAACTCAGCTACACTTACAAGTGCGAAGGGTGCCACCTCATTAATGGCTTTCTGCTTTCCTACACATCTAAAGGCCCACTGAACATGTCAGAGCCCAGTCTTCGCATGGCATTCAAGGCCCTTCATCATCTGTCTCCAGCATCTTCCATCAGCCTCACTGTGACCCCTTTCCCCACCTCTGCTACCCTAACCTCTGTCACAAAACAAATCTTATGCTCTTCCTCTACTGGGAACACACTTCCACCCTTGACTACCTGACAAACTTCTATTCATTCTTCAGCCCTTAGCATAAACACTACCTTCTTTGATGTCCCCAAGTGTTTCCCTGGGTCCCCACACTGCCTGGATGTACCTCACTTTTATACTCAGCCTCTTCTCCTGCACTTAGTGGTCTACAGCTGCCTTCTCTACTTGAACATGAGCTCCTTTAGTTTATTTTTCTGTATTCTCAGTAGCAACCAGCAGTTCAATAAATGTTTGAATGTTCAATAAATGAAGGAAGAAATGTGTCTTCAAAATGGTATCATTTTTATTGAGTACTTACTAAATTCTCTTCTCGGCCTTTTAGTGAGCACTTACTGACTGTTCGTTATCTCACTTCATCTTCATCTCTATCTACGAGGTAGCTTTCCCCTGCACTGCATGGCTATCCGAACTGAGGCACAGAGAAGTCATCCATCCATTTTATCTGCAGTCTAGAATAGCTGCTAATTGGAAAAACCTGGATTCAAATCCCAGTGTGTCTGATTCTAAAGCCCATAGATGTTTTTAACAATAATTCCCTTCCCATAACTCCTCTGAATGGCCTTAGCAGTCGAATTTTCTATACGATCAGAGTTTTCTGACCTGAAAGACTAGATTGTGCCAGTGTGTGTGTGTGTGTGGGGGGGGGGGGGAGTCTAGCTCAATAGCTTAGATTCTGAGACTGAGGACTCAAGGCTGGTTTGGAGACCAGAAGGCTAGAGCTAGACAGAGGCAGAGGTTGTCAAAGAAAGAAGATATGACATGTGAAAGTGACATCTTAAGCTTAAACAAGGAAGCCCTATAGATACTTAATCACTGTGCATAAATAGGACTTGGGCAAGCTCTTCCCCATATATGCTTACCCCCACGGACTCTGGTTCCCATTTCAGGGTGTCCTTAATGCTCACTGTGATTAGATATCACCTGGATAAAAATTGGGAGGGAGAGAGGGCTTGGGAGGGAGAGAGGAGGAACTAGGGAGAGATGTTATAATAGGCCCAAATGTTGCCAACCCCTAAGGATGGTGTAAATAATATAACCCTGTATACGTACTAGTTGTTACATATTAATTCATTTGTGCAAATAGAAAATGGTATTCTCTCACTGGTGGAGTGAGAAAAGATATTAAAATACACTATTTAGATGCTCAGGATTCAGTGGAAATGCATCCCTGGCAGTCAGGAGACAGCAAGGTACCCTTGGCAGCATTAATTCATAAACGGGATTTGAGTTCTTCACCCTGTGAGCTGCACAATTTCACATCCCTGATGAAAACTGCAAGGAAGCTACTAATTTTCACTTCTGAAAATGCTCACTGTGAAAATGCATTGGGAATTTAGCCAGAAGGAATTTTTATGTTAATTTCTAGTAGGGAGATAAGGAAAAGGAAAAAAATAAAAATACTAAATTAAACTGTTTCAGAGACCAAATAGTCAGTGGAGTCATTTTAATTTTCTCACAGGAAAACAAGTCCCCAGATGTACACGGTAGTATCATAAATTTATAAAAAAGATTTCTGTTTTGTAGAAAGACCTGTGGAGTTGGGATTTGGGGGACAGGAGATTAATAGAGGTAGGAGAGAAGAAAAGACAAGGATTACTCCTACGACACTGATTAGATCTCTGCTTTCATTGAACAAGAGCTAGACTTAGGAATCAATCATCTAACCTACCAGGGACCATCTCCCAAGTGGGGAGTCTATGGCTCAAGGGCCAAACCCAGCTCCCTGCCACTTTTTGTACAGTGCACAAGCTAAGAATGGTTGCTGCAGTTGTAAATGGTTGGAAAAACATCAAAAGAATAATATTATATGACACATGAAAATTTTATGAAATCACATTTCATTATCCATAAATAAATGTTTATTAGAAAACATCCATAGCTATTTGTTTGTGAATTATATATGGCTGCTTTGGTATTACAAAGGCAGAATTGAGTGGCTGTAGCAGTAACCTGATGACCCCAAAAATCTAAAATACTATACGGCCCTTTACAGAAACAGTGTGCTGGCCCCTGGCCTAGGTTGTCACTGCAGAGAGATAATTAACCTTCATGGACTTTGCAAACAGTTACCACATCTTTTACCCTTTTATTCCCAGCACCTATCACAGTACCTTTCACAGACTAAGTGCTCAACAAAGGAACGAAGGAATGAATAAATAGAGGGAAAGAGTAAGTTTCCCCAATGGTTTATCTTTGCCCTACAGATAAAGGTCAAGTCACCAAGAGTTTCTCTCAGATGCAACAAACATGCACAATGATTTGAGGTGGTCCCAGGCCTACCTTCTTTTATCAACACCCCATCAAACCCCAGTAGGAAGTAGGTGATACACACATTTCAAAAGAACATCATATGCAGACTGTTAAGTTTAAAACAGAGCTTCCTAATACCTGACATCCTCCAACATTAGCTTGGGTCACTCAGAGCTGTAGCACTGAGAAACTAAAGAATGAAGAGCAAATGTATAAGGATTTCCCTTCAAACCTGAATTGTTTTCTAGCCTTCTTTAATAAGCCCCCCTAATAAGCTTAATTCCAGTGAGCCATCTAGTGAACCATGGTATTCGGTACAGGAAAGGCTGAGAGGGCATGTACAGTGGATAGAGCGGCAAACTCAATGTGTCATTCCTAATTTAGAGTTCTCAGTAATCAGGGTAGGCTAGGTGTCTCCAGATCCTTCTATCCCCATTTCCAAGTTGGACAGAATCTGCAGACAGATCGGGTGGAGTGGGAAAGTCAATGAACTTCTTTAGTGACAATGGGAAGTCAATGGTATTTACTACGCCTGAGGTCTCAAAGATGAACAGGATTCCTGTCTGCTCTCAAGCCTGAAGTCTATACAGATGTGCAGACAAAGAAGGACAAAGTGCTCTGATGGAAGTATGTTTAAGGTGCAATACAGACTAATATTCCTATTCTATCCCTATCCCCCACCCTTTCCAGCCATGTACCCACTCGCCGTGATGCTGAATGTCACTTCTCGCTAATGACATTATTATTTCCTCTAGCCTGGACACCGTGATTATTCCTTACCGTCTTCCCCAGGGATCCTCCACCAGGAGAGGAAAGAGACTGGCCATGATGGAGAAGAGAGAAACATAGAGGCTTCGAGGGAGGCATAACCACTAAGAAATCTGAAAGGAGAATAAATGATATTTGTGTTTTCATTGTTTGCAAAATAATTATACTACTGATAAATGCATTTCACATTTCTACCCCAAAGAGTTTGTCCAGAGGAAAACTCACAGAGGAGACAATGCTTAAGATGAGCCTTAAAAGATGAGTAGGAGGTGGCCAGGTAGACGGGCCTTGGGGAGAAGACATTTCCCCCAGCTTAGACCTCCCACTTAAGTCTCTCAAGCTGACAAGTCTGTAGACCCTGTCCTGGTTTCTGTAGCCCAAACCTTAGTGGAGGTTGTTGTTTGGAACAGAAAAAAGAAAGAGGAGAAAAAGAAGATATAGGAGATGATGGCTTCATTAAGGAAATGGGATTTGAACAAGGCTCTGGTGTGTCGGGTCACAGCTGAGGGGCCACCTCCTATTCCAACGTGCATTGTCTGTACCTCTCATGTGACGCACCATATACTGTGTTGTTGGCATGTGTGTCTTACCTCCTGCAGCCCCAGGCTACGCTTTTGCTTTCTCCTTCAGTGCCAGTCCAATAGCTATGAATTTAGAAAGTATTTCATAGGTATTCATTGAATAAATGATATAAGGAACGCAGTCTATATTTTCTGGACACTCCAATTGGAAGAGAGTATGTGAAGAAGGTGCATAAGAATCACATATAATTCTTTCCCTGGCTCTGGCCC